CCCAAGTACTAAAACAGTAAATTGTTACGTACAGTAAATATCAAAAGTATCTGCTTACCTGTTTGCATACAAGTCAAAAACATAGATATTTCCTTGATGGTCCCCAGCAATTAAGCAGTCGCCTGAGCTATCAAAAGCCACATTCAAAAATCGTAAAACTTTTGGAAGATAATCAGAGGTATTGTGAATGATGTTCACTATTATTCTGTCAAAAACAAAACACATTAAATTCTGTCAACCATTACTCGTCACTATGAAAAATGTGACCTTTATATTAATTTTTTTTCTACTCATACATCCATCCCTCTCCAACCTTCTTCTCTCCCCTGGATTCAATCTTACAATGACTTCTGAAAAACAAAGACATGGGCTTTGCCCTCACAGAGCTTACCGTTTAGTAGGGAAGACAGATATTAAACAAATAAGCAAACAGAAACATATTTATAAGGTGTGATTGAGAAAAAAAACAGGGCGTGATAAGAGAACGAACAGTAGACTGAGGAGCTAAATTGCTTAGACATGTAGAAACACGGATGGGATAATGAGTGAAAAGTTTTGCAAATCATAAGCTACTATTATGTAAGAAACTTTTCAACATGATATGCTCTGGTAGCGTAGTGGTTACAAATCGGGCTGCGAACCGCAAGGTCAGCAGTTCGAAACTACCAGCTGTTCCGCGGGAGAAAGATGAGGCTTTCTGCTCCAGTAAAGATTTACAGCCTCGGAAACCCTGTACAGGGTCACGATGAGTCAGAATCGACTCCACGGCACATAACAACATGCTAATTTACCGTTTTCTGAATGAGACTTTCTGATACAGAAGGTTCTAAAGGGAATCAGGAGTTTGATGTTCATTTCTAGCACAGCTACCGTAATAACCCGTGAGGTCAGGGGCAGTCAGCCCAGCACTGCACCGCAGCACCCGCCCACTCCACAGCCCGCGCCCTTTACCCGTCCCGAGTGGCGGGGGCTGGCTTGCGGTGCCATATCTTGCCGCTCTCCTTGTTGCCCAGGTCTGTGCTCTGCATGACTAAGCCCCCGAGTGACAGAGGACTCAGGACCCGCCGCGGTCGTCCAGGGCCAGGTAGGTAACCGCCTCAGCCTTCCCGACACGCCCCGGGCTCCGGCCCGGGAAATCCCAGCGCCCGCCCCAGCCACTGGGGCCCTTGGATCGTACCAACCGTGCGCAGGCACAGGCCCTTCAATTTACAACCAATCGGAAACACGTTCTCAAACTTGACTCGGGCATCCCCTCCTGTTCCGGACATTGGAATCGGCCAACGAGCTTCTCTTACACTCGGTCGTCCCTCTTAGGGAGCCGGTCTCGGGACACAAAGCCTTCTGGGAATCGTAGTTCTTTGCGAGCGGAGCGAGGTTGATAGCAATGTTGTTTGTTGATAAATGCTGTTGAGTGAATACTGACTCTTAGTGACCCTGGATAGGGTTTCCAAGGAGCGATTGGTAGGTTTGAACCACTGACCTTGCGATTAGCAGTCCAGTGCTTATCTTACAGTGCCACCTAGTATTTTGCACCCTGCGAACCTTGCCGGAAGCCGGCTGGCAAAAAAAAGTAGGTTTCTCCGGAGGATCCTTCATTCTGTTCTAAACATTGTCTAGGTGTTAAGGATTCCTTGAGTGAGAAACTCTCTTTCAGAATTTGCCTTCCTTCCTGAATGGGTTTCGCTGAGAAATCAGAGCTTAGTTCCTTCCTCCTTTGTAAATAACTTTTCGTTTACCAAAGCTCCTCTAAGGATTCTTTCCTTGTGTTTGGCTTTGGAAAGTTTCATTATGTCTTGCGGATTTTCTTTTGGGGTCTATCCTATTTGGGGCTTATTCTGCTTCTTGAATATTTACTATCTTTTCATGATAGGGAAGTTTTCTTCTAACAATTCTTCAATAGCCTTTTTTTTGGTTGCTTCCTGTTTTGGAATTCTGATCACATGTAAATTATTATTGATGATGTCCCACATAAATCTTTCTTCAGAGTTTTTCCTTATTTTTCTATGATTGTTCTACTAGCAGACTAGTATTGAGAGATTTGTCTTCAAGCTCATTAATTCCACCTTCCACTGATACAAATCTAATCCTTTCCTCTTCCTATGTATTATTTATTTCTGGAATCTTAATCTTCTCGATGTCTTTGCTACTTTTGTATTCTTTCTGATTTTTCCCATTTGTTCTCGTACGGTTTTCCTGAATTTATTAATTTTTTTTGGTGTTCTCCTTGCTTTCGTCTGCAGCCTTTTCAATATTTCTCTCAGTTCATTGAAGGCACCTAAGTGTCATTCTTTTGAATTTTTTACCAGATAGTTCCAATAAATTTTCTTTCTCAGAAATGTTTTCTGGCTCTGCATTTGGGTCACTTGTTTGACCCACTCCGTCTTGTTTCTTTGTGTGAACTGAAATTGTCTTCTCTAAGACACTGTCCTGTTGTTGTATTTGTATTTAATTGATGTTGTATGTTGTTGTGTTATTAGGCACTCACCACCTGTCTCCTGGTGTGTGATAAAGAATGGAAGTGTATGCCCTGTTCTCTGTCAGCTCTTCATGGAACATGGGTCAGGGTGGGCTTGGCTGGTGTTGGCTGCTGTCTATCATTGATCAGGTGGCATGGAATTGGCAGTGGCGTTTGTCCAGTGGGTGGGGATGCAGGGGTTTGGTTATGGCTGGGTTGTATGGGCATGGTTGCTGTCTCCCATCAGGCAGGGCAATAAAGTACATACACACAAAAGAAAAAACAAAAACAAAAACAAAAAACCTCAAACAACAGCAAAAAAGAAAATAATAAAGGAAAAAACCACAACAAAAGGAATATAAGAACTAAAAAGAGAAAAAAGGGAAAGCAAAAGTCAACAAGGGAAGAGAAAATTAAAAGAAAAACACAATAAACAAAAACTAAGGAGAGAGAAGCAAATAAGAGTATTGTTGTCCGGAATAAGCTCAGGTGAGCAGAAGGAGCCAGGTGGGGAAGGATCACCTGCAAGATCCTTAGAGGCTCAAGCGCCCACCCCGCCCTGGCCCCTTAGTGGTGGGCCCTGCCCAGCCTTGATCAAGGCGATCCTCATCTTCAACAACCACAGGAGGTTTGTAAAAACAGTGTATGACCGGTGATATTTGCATAAAATGATGGTAGTCCACTTTTCTTGATCTGTTTCACCATCATCATGATTATTTTTCAATTCAGGAAACTGACAAGAGGCTTCAGTAATGTGTCCATATTCCAATCCAGAAAAGAAACAATGTCATGCCCCACCAGTTACACTGACATCAGAGAAGTCTTCTTGTAAAAATGTATTTGGCACTTTTAAGTGCTTTATCCACCATTCGTCTGCCAGTTTGTTGTACTGTGGTGGTTTGTCTGTTGCTGTTATGCTGGAACCTATGCCACTGGTATTTTAAACATCAGCAGAATCACCCATGGTGGAAAGGTTTCGGTTGAGCTTTCAGAGTAAGACAGACTAGGAAGGAGCGGTGGACGACTTCTGAATGTTGAGCCACTGAGAATCTTATGAAGAGCAGCAGTACATTGCCAGATATAATGCTGGAAGATGAGCATCTCAGGTTGGAAGGCACTCAAAAGACGACTGGGGAAGCGCTGCCTTGGGAAGTTCATTGGGAGCGTAGTGGCTTTGTAGGCTAAGCATTGGACTGCAAACCATAAGGTTAGCAATTTGAGCCCACCAACCCCTCCATGGGAAAAAGATGAGTGTTTCTGCTTCCAAAAAAGATTTGTAGCCTCAGAATTCCTATGCAGGGTCACTGTGAGTCAGAACTGATTTAATGACACTAACAACAAGAAGTGCTTTATGCATAAGACCACATTTAATTCATTGAATCCTGGCAGCAAACCTATGACCAAGTCATTTTGATTCACCTGGAATACAGATTTCTGGGATCAGAATTGGGATGACCTACTCAGGACATTGCTGTTAGGTGTTTTTGTTGTTGTTGTTGTTGTTGTTTTTGTTTTTAAGTTTTTATTGTGAATTAAGTGAAAGTTTACAGGGTAGATCATCAGTTTTATATTCAACAAATCATATACGTTGTTTCATTACAATGATTATAATCCCCTCCATGTACCTTCACTTAACAATATTTCTCTCTATTCATTTTAGTTTTTTTTTTTCTTTTAAGCACTCAGGCATATATAATAATTTGCACCACCAAAGGGCACATTCTGTAAGTCTGCCTCCTGGCCACCAGCTATCAGTCTCTCTCTTTCCATGAATCTATAGTCCTCAGCTGCTCCCTCTCTCCATGTCCCTATCTCTGTCTCCATCTCTGGTGTCGCTGCAGTAAGTGTTCTTTTGAACCTTGATGGAATTAGTTCCCTGAAGTCACCTTCAAGTCAACCAATAGCTCACTATGACCACTTAGCAGTGTTTGGCCTTAGGCATTGGGTTCTTTTGGAAACATATCTTTGTGCTTGAACCTCTGGCAGTTTCCTGTCAATGTACTGATGGAGCCGTTTTTTAATTATCTTTAGCAAAATTTTACTTGCATGTAATGTTAATGATATTGTCTGATGATTTCCGCATTCCATTGGGTCACCTCTCTTTGGGTCACCGCATTCTGTTGGCCTAAATATGGATTGGATTTTTCCAGTCAGCTGGCCAGTTAGCTGTCTTCCAAATTTCTTGACATAGATGAGTGAATGCTTCCAATCCTGCCTGTTTGTTGAAAGATTTCAATTTGTATTCCGTCAATTCCTCGTGCTTTGTTCTTTGCCAATGTCTTCAGTGCACCTTCGACTTCTTCCTTCTGTATCATTGACTCTTGATCATATGCGACCTCTTGAAATAAACATCAACCATTACTTTTGGTTCAGTGACTCTGTATTCCTTCCATCTTCTTTTGATGCTTTCTGCATCATTCAATATTTTGCCCAGAGAACCCAATACCTCAAATCGAGGCTTGAATATTTTCTTCAGTTTCCTCAGCTTGAGAAATGCTTAGTGTGTTCTTCCCTTTGGTTTTCTAACTCCAGGTCTTTGCATATTTCGTTATAATATTTTACTTTGTCTTCTCAATCTGCCTTTTGAAATTTTCTATTAGGCTCTTTTACCGCCTCATTTCCTCCATTTGCTTTAGCATCTCTACACAGAAGAGCAAGTTTCAGAGTTTCTCCTGACATCCATTTTGGTCTTTTCTTTCTTTCCAGTCTTCTTAATGATCTTTGGCTTTCTTCCTGTATGAAGTTCTTCATGTCATCCCATGTCATTCTGGGTTTGGGTCTTTAGTGTTTAATGCATCAAATCTGCCCTTCAGATGATCTCTGAATTCAGGTGGGATACGTTAGGGTGGGGTGTGTGTTGAGTGCTGTTGAGTAGGTTCTGACTCATAGCGACCCTGTATGGGTTTGAGCCACCAACCTTGAGGCTAGTAGTCCAGTGCTTATTCCTTAGTACCACAGCAGGAGTCCACCCTTAATCGAATTTTGGTTTATCACATAAAATCACATCATGTGTGATAACTACATCTCAACTGAAAACCATTGAGAATCGTGGCCCAGTCAAGTTGACACAAAACCTTAACAATCACAGAAATCATACCTGGTAAAGTAGAGGGTCAATGAAACAAAGTAAGACCCCAACAAGATGGACTGACACAGTGGCAACAACAATGGACTCAAACGCGACAACACTTATCAGGATGGCACAGCATTGTTAGCATGCATAGGGCTGCTATGAGTTGGAACTGACTTGAAGGTACCTAACAGCAATATATCGAAGGAGCTCTGGTAGCGTAGTGGTTACGAATCAGGCTGCGAACTGCAAGGTCAGCAGTTCAAAACTGCCAGCTGTTCCGCGGGAGAAACATGCTCCTATAAAGATTTACAGCCTGGGAAACCCTGTACAGGGTCACTATGAGTCGGTTCTGACTCCACGGCACATAACCACCACCACCACCACCAGCAATAGCAACACCTCAAAAAATTTCTCATACTTCTTCTAATTCATTCTACCCCATCCCACTCTGCCTATAGGCAGAAACACTGATCTGTTTTCCATACCTTAAAGTAATTAGGATTTTATA